TCTTGTCTACAATAAGATTTGCATAGCGGAGTGTCCGGAGCAGACATCTTTGCATCAAGTCTGCAATAAACGACCAGACAGCAGTTTCTCTGAAGCCATTCCAGAAAAGAGGGTTAGTTTGCCTGGTACTATCTGTCCACATTTTATCCACATTCTAAAATATTGCCCCTAATTGCCACATTGTACAAATATTTTTAAATAAGATCAAAAGCCATGAGTCACACACACTGATAAACGTAACATATTTGGGTTTTGTCTGCTTTAAAAAAAGATCTGACATTGTATATCAAATTCATAAATAGGTCAAGACAAATAATGAGATAAAAATATGAATTGGTGAAAAAAGTATTTAATTGCAGCTCTCATTCTCAGAGGAAAGTAAGTGACAACCCGGGGTAAAAGCAAAATACGCTTCAAGTATGATTTAGCTGAACTGACCCTTTAAAATCCCCTGTTGTGTACATTGCTCATACTAATGACTTATACAAACAACTGACTAAGCAACGGTTATTTGCACTATTTCCTAATTACTTTGACCAACTGTTTGGAAAGATCCTCACTTCTGTGATGCTTTTCATCCAGTTCTGGATGTTTTCGAAGGACTTCTCATCTGTGATGTCGTACACCAGAACGATGCCCTGAGAGAGAGGATTTAAGGAGTCAGTTAAAGGTACAGAGCGGGCACAAAGCCAGTCTGCTTGTTCCGCTGGCATCCTGTGCTCACCATGGCTCCTCTGTAGTAGGCTGTGGTAATGGTCTTGAACCTCTCCTGCCCTGCTGTGTCCCTGCAAAGAGCACACACAGGCAGAGTAAGAACAATGTGCACTGATGCATGCACATTGTGCTAACAACGTTAAATAAAAAGACAGTTGCAGAACAATGCATTCAAAACGTTTTTTTACACTGCTATGGCAATAGTCATATTTATTGGTTAAGGCTCAAATAATCAACCTCAATAACTTGCAAGGGAAAATTAAGGGAACATTCATATTCTAAACTGCTAACCCAAAGACAGATTGAGCAATATACTATTCAGCAGGAACAACAGGATTTTATCTGACGCTTATCATGTGATTAACTCTCAGTTTGGGCTAATCATTTCTTGATGGAGGCACAGGGTCCATTTGTGGAAGCGCAATGTCTCCCTATGTCAGTAACATTAATCAATGGGTAACCCCTAGAGGACAGACAGAAGGTTAAGGAGTCAATTAGCTAAATAAGGATTTGATTTTTTCAATAATATGAGTTGGAGATGTATGCCTTTGATAATTTCTCTACCTCTTATTGTAGTGAATAGCTTGTTATGATTTGATGATTGTGTTTATCGCTGCCTGATGATTTCACATGTGTTCATTTATATAATGTGTTTACTTTTATTGTGATGTGTGGTCTTAATTCAGCAATTTCCATTTCGCCAAGACAATTTCCTCCCAATAAAGTAACCTCAACCACATTGTTTCTGTAGAAAAACACACTTGTATGACATAAAGGGAGTCTCTGAGTTGGGCAATTGATTTGGAAAGTTAACCCTGCCATAAAGCCCAGATCAGGAAGTAGATCAGGACAGTAGGGAGGTTTCTCTTTCCTCTCAGGAAAACAAGCCAGAGAGAAAAAAACTAAGAATCTTTAGACACGCAACCAACTGTCATCTCTTACCAGACTTGTAGTTTCACTTTCTTTCCTTCCACTTCAATGGTTTTTACTTTAAAATCGATACCTAGGAAGAGAAGAGAGGAGAATGGATGGATAGATAATGATTTAAACAACACACACACACACACACACACACACACACACACACACACACACACACACACACACACACACACACACACACACACACACACACACACACACACACACTACACTACACACTACACACACACACACACTACACACTACACACTACACACACACACACACACACACACACTACACGTAACACACACACACACACACACACACACACACACACACACACACACACACACACACACACACACACAGGTGGATACTCATTTTTATGGTATTCACATTTTGATTTTGACCTCCATCCACAAAACAGTCTTATAGAAAAGGCAGCCCTGCATCACACACTAAGTTTGAGTTATGTATTATTTTCTGCTGCATGGACAAGCTGTCAAACAGACAGACAGACAGGCAGACAGACAGGCAGGCAGGCAGGCAGGCAGTCAGACAGAAAGACAGACAGACAGACAGACAGACAGTGAGGGGCAGAGGAGGGGGTTGTCTTGTAAGAAAAAAAAAGTCATGCCAGAAAGCCAACCATTCGGCTGTGAATGTCGAGATGGTATAAAAGATAGGAATGAGGGTGGGTCGACCCTCTGAGAGCCAAGAGAGAGGAATGAGATCTGAGGGAGAGATGGGGGAGAGGGTCAGGGAAGAGTCAGCACACACACTCAGCGAGGGCAAAACATTCACCAAGAGAATAAAGACAGAAAAAGATAAGAGACATAATGGAAAAAGAATTAGTCATGAGAGAGCATGGACTTGTTGAGACATGAAAGCAGTCTGGGAAACCAGTTGTACAGACATAGAGGAATAATTAAATGCCAGCACAAAGCAAATATTTGTTTTCCTCATGTTCTAAGTTTCAGACAGGCCAATCATAAGCTGGTAGAGATATGTCGTTGATTACATGGTAAACATTAAACCGAGACAACGTACCGATGGTGGAAATGTAAGTGGAGTTGAAATTGTCCTCAGCAAAACGGATGATCAGACATGTTTTCCCCACTCCGCTGTCCCCGATGAGTAACAATTTGTAAAGCAAATCATACTTTTTCGCCATGTTTAGAGTTGTTTCCTCAAAGTTGAAGCTAAAAGGGGAAAAGTTGTAGTTGCCCCTTTGTTAAAGCACTTTTCATCGACTCAAGGCTTCAGAACTATGGCTGCAAATGTGATTCAAATTAAGTAGGCTTTTTAAAACTCCATGTAACGAGTAGATCCTTTTTCTTTTTTTTCTCCTCCCAGACTTGTCACCGGTAAATTCCGATCCCCCTCAGTGCCTCTGTGTTGTGTTTGGACTGCATCAACAACATAAACTGCATCAAAAGTTTTACTCTCTACTGCCGATCAGTCTTCAACAGCAGATATGTTCATTATTCATTTAGCTGTCATCCAAAAAGTCAATATCACTCCGTTTACACGCGTATCGGGATGGCTACGTGTTTTTTTCTGCCTCACAAAAAACCCAGATCCGCTGAAAGGCTACGTAGTGTGGGAGTGCTTCATGGGAGTGACGGCTCAGACATGCAGGTACCCGGCATGACCACAAGATGATGCTATTTAACCAGAAACAAAGTCACCCGCAGAGGTCCCTATCTCCTATAGAGGTTATATTAAATCATTCTTATTAAAAATACATGTACATTTCTCAATCAAACTGGTGGACAAACAACTCATATTTTACCATTGTAAAACTATAATTGCCACAGTGTAGAAATATATCTGTTACAAGGAAAATTCATAAATGTTACTGTAGTAAAAGTATTAGCCTTTATACATACAGTCTGATATTACCATTAGAAAGTATTAGCATCAAAATGTAATGTAAGGGAAAAAAGGGAAAAGTACTCATTCCGCAAAATATCTCAATTTAGAATATTATGTAATATTATAGGTACTGAGGCATTAATGTGGTCATAACTTCTAGGTTTTTAAATAACTACAAAGCAACTGAAAAAGAAGATGGTTAACAAAAAGATTTAACTAAAATAAGACAATAATAACTACCAAGACAATACAGAGAAAACATGACGACGAAAACACACAATTGACACAAAAATGTAATGTGTCTTGCTCACAGGAAAGGTGGTTGGGCCTTTTTTCTGTCAGATAGACAATCTCCCTATAGCCCACTAGGCCCACTGTCTCATAATCCAGCCACGGAGATATGCACGTTATAACCTATAATATGAAAACAAGTTACAAGTAAAAACATCAATAAACGGCATACCTTAAGGCTTAATGCCACAAGCTGTGGTCTCTGGTGTGGTTATCTGACACATGCTTTGTTCTCCTCATGCTGTTTAACTGTAATGGGGAAAATAAGTAGTCAGGCAGACATAAGGCAAATATACAGCATGATCTACAGTCAATGCCTTAGGGTCAAGTGTGGAGCTCATGGGTCAAAATGTTGACACATAAAATACAGCTCATATCTGATTTTTTAAACATGTAGCTAAATTCAATTTTTTTGTCTGGACACCCAGATGTGTAAAGTAACTAAAAAGATTTACTCAAGTAGATTTAAGTACCGCACTTAAGTACAATTTTGAGAACTTTACTTGAGTATTTCAATTGTTGCTATACTTTGTACTTCTACTCCACTAGAATTCAGAGGTTAATTGTGTACTTTTACTCCGAAACAAATATTTAATAACTTTAGTTACTTTGCAGATTTGGATTAAGGATGTGAAATATAATCAACACTTAAATCACACTTTAGTAACACCTGGAGTAAATTCACAAGCTTCCCTTCATTCAGCATAACAAGTCCTTAAAATTAGCTGCACCTTTACCAGCTGTGACAAACACATTAATGCATCAATAAATTATTATCAAAACATATCATATATATTATTCTGAAATGGGCCAATCTGCAGAATGAGTCATTTTACTTTTGGTACTTTAAGTATATTTTGATGCTAATACTTTTGTACTTTTACTTGAGTAACATTTTGATTGAAGGACTTTTACTTGTAAAAGAGTATTCATACACTGGTGCTTCTACTTTTATTTAAGTAGAAGATCTGAGTACTTCTCCCACCACTGCTGGACACATTTCAGAGAGAAGTAATGCCACGTTTAAAAAAAAAGGTAAACCGTTGTATAAATATTCGAATTAAAAGCGTGTTGCTGTTTCTTGGTAAATATTTTTGCAAGTTTGCGTAGGTCAACGCTGACGTGTAGTTTGAATAAATTGATGTTTAAAAAATACATTTAAAAATAAATAATATATATTCTTCTTCTTCTCTCTTCCGCCGGGTCTTTGCCTATTCACTTCCGGTTTGTCGTCAGTGTGCTTTTTAGGTGACAGGAGCTCTACAACGCAGACATGCCAGTAAGTAGTTCTTCGACTTATATAGTCGCCATCAACTGTTTAAAAGGGTTTATTCATAGTGGTAATGTAATACACTACAATTAAGTGTTTCGTTTGAGTGATAAATCAACGTGTTTAGTGCTGTAATATAAATGTACAACGCACTCAATATGGCGAAACACGTGTTCAACAAAGCAGCCACGCGGTCTCTAATGCTGATTAATTTTTCAGGGTTAAACTCAACTTTCGACGATCCTAGTGTATATGTTGAATTGAATGGGTGTAAACGCTTTGAAATATCCTTGATTTACTCCGTTTCACTTTTACTTTATCCTATTAATCGCATTTACTCATTTCGAAACTGTAAAACGACCTTTGCTTCCGGTTATCTTATCGTTTGTAGACCATACCTTATCGGAACTTAACTGTATCCTTATACAACCGTAATTTCCAGATTACGTATGATTTAACTGTTGTCCTGTTTTTTTTCCCAGCTTGCAAAGGATCTGTTACACCCGAGCTCTGAGGAGGAGAAGAGGTGTCACAAGAAAAAACGCCTCGTTCAGAGTCCTAACTCCTACTTTATGGATGTCAAATGTCCAGGTCAGTGTGTTTACTAAGCAACCATAGGATATATTAAGTAATAACCTAGTCAGACTTTTATAGATAATGTAGATGAGATGCATGTGCAAAGTACAAAAGTTGAACCAGAAAGTATTTTCCTATACAATAAATGTGTTATATTTGAATGGAGCATGGAAAAAACATAGTGAAATAAACAAGAAACGTGTAGAGTAGAACAAATTACAATACATTTATGAGAAGATGCTATCAAAATATTTACACATACAAAATTAAAAGCTGTGTTTACTGCCACAAACTTAAATATTGAAGAACTTAAAGCCTAACTGCAGGACTTTCACTTTCTGACTTGTAATTCAGTTGTCATTTTTCACCTTTTATATATTCAAGATTTAAATACTTTCTTACATTAGACGTGTATTAAGAATATTTGCCTTTATGTGTTGCCCTTTCATTGTTCCCATAGTGATCAGGGTGTCAAATAAGGCATACATCAACACTTGTGACTGTCTGTTAAATGAGTTTCAAGTAATTCCTTTACATGGACAGCTGCAAGGACATATCAGTACCCAAAAGTACATATGTCTAAATGGTTATAATGGCATTTCCATCTAATGATTTTATGTTTGTGCCGCCTGCAGGTTGCTACAAGATCACCACAGTGTTCAGTCACGCTCAGACTGTAGTGCTGTGTGTCGGCTGCTCCACAGTGCTCTGCCAGCCTACAGGAGGGAAAGCTCGCCTTACAGAAGGTAACCAGCATGCAACGGAAATAAATGGTCTACTCGATCACGCCAAATATAGGTTTAGCACTACACATCCATGTATAAAACGTACATACAGATATATACTGATGTCACTTAGAGCATGGCATTTTTTCTATAAATGTGCTATGCTTGTTCTTATATCATGCATTCATTATAAACCCATGTCTATTGGAAACCGTCTGGCTGACCCTGACTGGAATTGCTAAGTTTGTGAACCAAAACTATATATTTGCTCGATTTCATCCATCACTGACAATTAGCCTCACAGACAGGCTGTCGTATCTATTTGAAACATATTACATTCATTGGAAGGGATGGATTACCAACAACAACTTTCCCTAAATCGATAGCCATATATATTTGCCTTTTGTGTTGCCTTTTCAATGTTTCCGTCATGAAAGGGGTGTCTACTAAGGCATACAGTGACTCTTGTGGTTGTGACAGAAATTCATCATCATTGATCCATTTCTACACACTCGACTGCAAGTACACATGTTTGTATATTAAGTTTGTTTAGACTTCCTACATTGAGTACAATGGGATATACTTTTAGAATGACAGCATATAGTTTTCTTTCTGATATAGTATGTATCAGAATTGCTTCCCGAGTCGGAGTACATAAAGAATGCTGTTAATGGATAAAAGATGTTGGTGAAGTGGTTGAGCTTAAGTTCAAGGTTTGTTTTTTTACTGAAGCTCTCACGGTCCCACCCACTCTATCTGGTGCTCTGCTGCCGTGGTAACCACATGCTCAGTGCGCTCCGTTGCTTTGAGTTACTATGAGTGCAACCTTTGGCTCTAAAACCATGTGTTTGGAGGTGATTCAGTCTATGAAAAAAACAAAAGTTTTTAACCTCAAATGTACAGAAACACCCCAACAACTTGAGGTCTCTCTGGTGCTTTCAGTTGCACATCACCTTACATTTGGAAATGTCTCATTAGGCTTTGGGAAATTGTACAGCTTTTTTATTTTTGTGATACTTTTGCATTTTCAGGTCAAACAAAAAATTGATTAATCAAGAACTAATTTATATTGCAAATAATTGGTGGTAGTTCTTTTTTTTTTTATCTTGAAGGGCTTTTTAATCTTAGTCACAATCAACCCAAACTAAACATAACTGCTTTTTGTATTGGATTGCTTTTGGTTAATCCTAAGACTTTCTCCATCTTTCCACAGGATGCTCATTCAGGAAAAAACAGCACTAGTTGGCCCTGATGTGGTTGGACTCAGTTTAGGAGGAGAATGATCAGCGCTTGATGGACATCAGGCAACACTGCCATGGAGCTGATGCAGCATTGAGGAAATGGAGAGCGGGCAAACAAATCATGTAATTTAAGAAGTCTCTCTACTTGATATGCACAAAGGCATTGTTGAAACCCGACCAACATCACATCCAATAATTCCTCTACTCTTAATAAACTTAGGTTGTTTTTTGGTAAAAATAATCTTGCATGTGTGTCATCTAGTTTGTTCTTTTTACCTGCTGAAGGTTCTTAGATGTCATTTATCAGCTCAGGACCCCTTAAAGATGTGAAGCTAATGGTCAGGGCATTTGAAGACCGTTTCATCAATTTAAACAGATGAGTGGCCTCAACAGTTTTCTGTGGCGAGCTGTTTGCATTTGTTGCATTACACCCTCAATGATTTAAGGGTACACCTTTTAGAAGGAGTTGAGGTTGTACAATTAACTACAGATAATGTTCACATTACGCCAAGCAAGTCAACATTTTTATTTAAAGCGTGATTGGGGTTATCAGTGCCTGTTGTGAAGCCAGAGGTGGTTGAGAGCCCACTGACTTTGAATGAGGGTTTACTCAGGGATAGATATAGCTGGCTCTGCTTCTGTTTCCTGATGCTTGTAAACCACAAACCCAGTGATGTGAATGATTATGGTTGTGAATTTACATGTGCTTGCAAGCTTCCTGTGAACATGATCATGTGGGAAGGATTCTTGTGAAGTTGCAAAACAATCACACTAGCTCTGTTTGAGATGAATCAGCTAAAATAATTTGTGTCCCTATGCTTTAGTTGAGGCTTATGGGTCCTTTGCACAGTCTGTATACTAAATAAAGAAATTGCTTATTGAACAAAAGCAGGGAATTATAGCTTTCTTTTTACTATGGTGACATTTTTGTCCTGTGCTTGTATATCAGACACGACTTACAAATAAAATGATAAATTAATTATTCTGACGTGCCTTCTGGTTATTGAGTGACTTAAACACGATAAATAATGTTTATTTTTCATCCACTGCCTTTTTAGACAACCCATAAGTTATATCAGAAGTTTAAGGTAATTATTACATTGACATCTAATGTCAATCATGTTTTACACGGCAGTGTGCTGTAAAAATTAATGTTCGCCCAAATAAAACGTCTTCTAAGATATTAAGTTCATCAAAAGTCTAAACTTTTTTTTTTCTTGCTGCTGACATTAATTATAGTCATACATAGTTCGTTTTAAAAATGTTGAAAGCTGAATGCAGACCCTTGTAGATGAAATAAACTAAAACTGATGAAGGAAACACTCTACTGCTAGCTTTATGAGCTAGGGAACTACTTGTGTTATGGGTAAATGAAGATTGTTTCAAAAGCTAGAATGCATATATTTAACACAGGTTTTAAAAGGCTGTTTCACAACGTGTGTGTGTGTACAGCACACCTAGAGGGATGGGAGTATTCCCTGGGATCCATCACAGTGAGCACAGCCTGTCAGAGAGCAGCAGGTTGGTCAGCGTCTCCGGGACACCTGGAGCATCTGGGACAGAGAGGACTGACCCCACAAAGAGCCTCAGAAAGATAAATGAGAGGCTGCAGAGCAGCGGCAGAGCAGTGGCAAAACAGCTCGCCTGGCACCGGACAGAAGTTCAACATCTGTACACACCTGGCAGGAATGACAGAGAAGAGTGTAACTGTACATACAAATTAAATTATAAAGGAGGACTAAGTGCATTTGGTGTTGTGATACTCTCAGCCCTGAGAGGCTGTAAACTGTTCAGTTGCAGGTAGGGGGAGCCACAGTGCAACGTCCCAGCATGCACACACGTAAGACTACATTTGCATAAGGGTGAAAATACTTGAGATCGGGTACTCAATGTAATAATAATAGTTTATACATATACACAACTGTATAGCTTTTCCTAAAACAATGTTTACAAAGTGTTTATCATACAATAAAACCCAGGGGCAACAATTAATAAATAATATATCTAAATATATGTGTTAAACAACTAATCAAACGAATGAACAAGGACCGCTAAACGTAGAAGTGTGCAATCAAATACAGGAGTTTGGGTATTACAGAAAAAACAAAGGATTCTCAATTTTTCTAACGGCAGTGTTAAGAATTGATTGCCATAACAGCCTGTTTATTGAAGAGGGATTTAAAAGATTAAATCGATTTTGACTAATTTCCCAAGGCAGTTATTTTCATAGCACATGTACCCTGGTAGATAAACGCAGTGAACTTCAGTCATGCTTCAGTATAACATGTCAGAAGTGTGATGTGTGTGTTTTCACAGTCAGTGTCAGTCACTGCCTGTGTGTTTTTCAGGTGTTTCAGCTTGGTGTTAAATGTCTGGGAAATGGTGTACTGCAAGGTAATGAAAAACTAATTCTCCCAAGGGGCGCCTCTTTCAACCCGAAGATACAAGACATAGTTAAATAGATACAAAATCTACCCAAGCCACACACTACGCATTTGTGCATTCATCCATACATCTTTAAATATCCCAATTATGTGGGCACTTCGTCTAACCTGTGTTGAGCCATTACTGACCCAAGATACTCTCGAGCTGCCCTGAGACACCGGAGTAAACACTTGTCTGCTTTGAGTTTTTGTTTGCATTATGCACTGTTTGTGTGGTAGCTTACTGAAGCAAAGTGCATTTCCAGGAAAGACTGGCTAAAGAGAGCCAGCGATAACAGAAAGGCAGTGTGGTCAGTGGGGTCCTCAGGCACTACTAAAGCTCTTTGTACGTCAGACAAAGTCATGGGACCAAAAGATAGATGTCCAAATCTGAAATCATCCGTGCCATATCTCTGGGTGGAGTGGGAGGAAGAGAGCAGAATGGGACAGGAAGATCGATAAAGAAGGCAGAAATCTTTCTGAGATATGTAGGGATTCATTTTAACAGTATTGATCTTAGCAGTTTGAATTCTTATCTCAGCATTGAATGTTGCAAAGCCAGAAATTGTAGAATAAAAAGTAATATGACAGAAGATTTGGTGAAAAAGACTGAAAGAAAGAATAATCTGTGTGTAGAGACTACAAGTGTGTACAGGAGAGAGTGTGAGGGTGAGGAAGTGTGACATTTTTGTACAAGGCTGTCACAGAAGAGCTCAAGGTGACAAAGAAAAGACAAGATGACAAGATCACACACACACACACACACACACACACACACACACACACACACACACACACACACACACACACACACACACACACACACACACACACACACACACACACACACGCACACACGCACACACACACAATGTTGTTTGTTTCAGTTTATCCTTTGCCAAGGATAGACTCATTACACATCATTAGCATCCAGAGCACAATCAACTGACCTGAACACTGATGAGCAGGGTCTAGATGACCCCACTAACTCCATGGCAACCAAAAACCTCCAGCGGAGCAGAGCTGGTGTCTAGGCCAAAGGTGTGGGAGCCCCCCGGGGGTCCGCAGAGACGAGCTGTATCCTGTCACACACTGACACGGAGCACAGGGCAGATGGAATCTCTGGCACACTAGAAATAACACAAAGGCGTTATGACCGATTTGTCTTCCTTTATAGTCCCTCCACAGGTAAATGTAGAGTGTCAATGACTCTTCAGCAGATGCCTACAGATTGACTTGTTTAGACTCAGTACTCAAATTTAAAGAGGGTCTTACATCTCACCATGCACAAACTGGTGAGTAAACAAAAATGGTAAAGCATGGTTACATTATAATTATATAGAGTCAAGTAGAAGTAAAACTACATAACAACTTGGGTAAGATTAAACAAGGATATCACAACTGCAACTCTCAACAGGTTACTGTGTATGTTTATTTTCATTTAAATGCCATATCCATAACCAGACAAAGGACAACATGGGTGCTGCAAACAAAACAAGAAAAACAAATTGTCAATAACGCTGTTTGCATGTCAGTTGTCCTAACTGTTGCTGTCGTGCAATAATTGAAAAAATGTTTTAAAGCTTAATATATCAGTAATAGCAGCAAGAATTGTGTAACAGAGTAAGTTGTAGTACATATGTACATTTGATAGAAAATATACTTTTTTTTTTTTTACTGTTAAGGAAATTGTGCAATCAAATGTGTTAACATTGCTAACCTTAGTTTCTCTGATTAGGTCATCTCTCTGGGAGACCTTAAATGTATGTGTGGTCAACAGACGTGTTTAGGGGGTGAGGTTTTGCATACAATGCCAGAGGGGGTATCAGCTGGCCTCCCAGAATGTTGTTGAAATGTAAATCTGCTTTGATGTCCTCTTATAAAGAGAGCCTGTTTTACTCAGAACAGTACGTGCTCTTTGGAGGAGACGTCATACTTGCAAGTATAAAGGTCCTTATTGCTTTTAATATGAATATTGTGTTGCTGTACGTTTGTTACCTTACTGATTATTCTCTCTAGACCACAGCTGATTTTAAAGCTGCTATGACATTACAATCATTACTCAAGTATATAGAATCAATATAGAATGTTACTACAAACCATGTACCCAAAGTGACCAAAACTCAAAATCTATTGGTAGTCAATTTGAAGAATAAAAACAAACAACATTTTAAATAAAACAATTATTGATGCCAACATGCTAGTGGTAAGTGGAACGTAAACACAAAACTTGCGTCACACTCGTTTAAATGCTTATTTTATTGCTATTGACTGTGATGCCAAGTTGATCTGAAGCATAATCAGCAGGCAAATTGCGTTATCACCCTTATTGCCACACTCCCAATTATCCTGAACGGCCTTTGGTCAATGATAGGTTCCTGTTTATCGAAACTGTGAAAGGAAAGACACACAGCAAAATATTTTGGTTGGACAGGTTTGACGCCTTTCCTAATGTAGGTAAAAGGAAATATGATGAAATGTAACTGTAAGTGTGTCTCTCGTGGGTTACATCATGGTTGGTTGTTATAGTTTAGGTTGGGTCTGCTTTGCTGCAAATCTTTCACTATCTAGATACATTTGTAAAACTATGCATAAATGTACACACACACTGAATGCACATAAACAGACAAGAACACACACCTCTGCAGGAGTTAGGGTCACTGTGATGGATGCTATCCCTGAATGGCCACGAGTATTAAAAGCCTGGCGATCAGTCATGTCAGCTTGTCACCGCTCGAAATTAATCATTCTTGTGGCTGTGATCATTTCCTGCATTAATTATTCTGACCATGTAGCTTAAATAGTCTGCACGCTGTGAGTGTGTCTGCCAGCACCAACTGTGAAAGAACATTTAGGGAGATGAGGAGGAGTCACTGGGAAGGAGGGGAGGACGTCAAGCTGCACCCCCTTCTGGTCAAACCCTCTTACCTGCAGCTCTATATGGAGGAAACAGAGAGGAGAAAGGTACAAGAGGCGGTGGATGGACATCGGAATAAATCTATCAAAAATATGTATTCAGATCATTAGCAAAGCAGTGAATAGGGTGATAGAGGGGAATAAGTTGGAAGGAGAAAAACAGGGTGGCAGAGAGATGTCAACACAGGCTGTTCCTACCTACTGAGAGTGTTTGAGCACACTTGGTGTTGGCTAATTGCAGTCGAGCTCCTAATGGATGAGACTGATAATGTGTTAAGGCTTTTGTAGATTGTTTGCATGGAAGAGAGGCTCAGAAAATGTAAATATACATATAATCACCAGCCAGATGCCTCTCAGTTGTTTTGGTTAGCCAATTGTTAGTGTGTTTACACAGGCGGCCAATGGATTATTACCAATGTCAGAAAAGTTCTGCTGTCAGAATAAATGTATTTGATTAAACTTTGAGTAAACTCATACATATTTCAAAGGGTTACACAAAAAAGAAAGTCAACACATTTTGTTTTTGAGCAATTATTTGATTGTGATGTTTCAAAAGTACTGCAAAAAAAAAGAAAATGATGCTTTATGTCACACAGAGATCCATTTAGTTTCCTCATTTATTCGTCCAGTATTATTTTATACC